CATTAATGCACACAATAAATACACAAGTGCAAGGAAAATCAAAAGACAGGTTGCTCACTGGGAGGCCTTGGGTTTGTTGGCTTTTCATAGATATTTTTGTAGCCTCCTGACATTAGTTCTGTATGTGTCTGAGAAAAAGAACAACCTCTATTGTCATTGTACACGAGATACAACAAAATTTCGTTTGGTGTCATTCTTTGCAGCAGCTAATAAGGTTACAGTCTAAGAAAAAATGCTAAAAGGTAATATAAATAATAAAAGAGCAATAAAATATACAATATAGAATAAATACTCTAATAAAAGTTTTATTCCTGCAGCAGTTGGAAGCACCTAGACCTTATATTATTAGAGTCAGGTGCAAGTTTATAGCAGATTTCTCTGTATTCTTTTCAACTTACCATTTGAATGGCTTGGCTAAATTCACACCGTAACGGCTCTTCCCCTTCATATTGAAGAAAGCCAGCTTCCTTTATAACTCCATTCCTATGCTGTCTACTGGAAACATGCACTTTGGAGCATTAGCTTCTCTGTTGTGTGGCNCAGTGTCCCTCTCACAGAGAGGTCTGCTTGTAAATGATGTGATCAAGTGACACTCAGTAAAAGAGGAAAAAAGTTCAATTCACAGTTTAAAGAATAAAATCTTATCCAAAATGTACAAAATTAGACATGTATAAGAAGTGAGGGGTGCACAATGCAACGCCTGGATTTATCTTGGTCATGTGAAGCAGCCTCACCTCGACAGAATAAAACCATCTCGAGCTGTCGTTTAATTTACAGATGCAACACAAACAAAGCGGCAGCATGTAAAGAACACAAAAAGGAAATGCAATTTTGTGTCCAAGTTCTTACAGTTTTAAAGGCTTATTACACCTAAATGATGTTTTTTAACTAAAAGGTTATAAGGCAGAAGTTTTACTCCACCCAAAATACTACTTTCTGTCAAATAGATGTAAAGATTTATTCCACTCTATACAGTACACTATTTTGCCAGTGTCTGTGGACTACAAAAGCCTCCTCGACACACAGCTTCACTCTCGCACAACGTTCACTGCACTTTAACTTTGGGATCTCTATTTCCTTATTAGGACTTTTTTCAAAATGTATATTGTTTTTAAAGAATTGTTTTGTTCATGAATGTCTTATTGTTGCATTAAGAAGTCACTTTTCAGTGTATGAGCATGTGACAATTAAAAACCCTTACATCTTTTGAATCTACACAACTCTATCAGTCTCTAGTGGAGAAGAGAGATAACTACCCAGTTCAACATTGAACAACAGTAAACATGTGAGCCATGACAGTTTGTCCTGTTGTTAACTTTGTGTTACACTATTTAATCAGCAACTTCCTCATAGTGACCAACCTCCAACACTTTTTACAAGAGTTACAACTTCCATCTGGCCACCTGTTAACATTTATATTAGCTTGATTTCCATTCAACATGTTATCAGGGGAGAGCGCGAACGCAGTCCCCCACTACCAGAAATTATGCAGTCGAGATTCCCACATTTGGGGAATTCGCAGGGGTCAGCACAGCCGAAGTGCAATGGCTGAGCCTCGCCCTGGGTGAACCACCTTCTTGATCATGGTATCTCCCCTGCCAGGTAAGTATGAGTTGTACATGGCCAACAGGGGGGACTCATTCAGCCACATACAAGTCAGCCTGACGGTTTTAATACCAGTATATTACCAGTAGCCCAATTTTAGGCACAATACAATGACCACATGATATTATACTCCTACACCACAGAGCTAACGTTATTTTACTGATTAAAGCACGTTATTTTAGTGATTAGTGTTCGTGAAGTTACCCATCATGCTTTGCCGCATTGTGTACATGTGACGTTGCATGCTACTTCCGGGTTCGGTTTTAAAAGTTAATATAAACGTTTGCGCTCAATAAATACCACTCTGCGTTTTACTCTTCACGTCTCATAATGTAATCGATGCTGTGTAACGTCTGAGGGGGATACTTTTAAAGTTTTAGCCTTATTAGTTGAATGCAGAACCACAAACAGTAACAACGATCTCTATAGTGACTGTAAAACACAGTATTTCTGCGGATTCACCGGGACGAGCGGAAGGAAACCGGAATGAAGCACGAGCAACGAGCAAAACAGCGGACGTCGTTAACATCCCTACGGACCGTATTTAAAGGTATTTAAATCCCCTCGGAGACGAAATACTGTGACTATTTTGTCTGGTGAAAGAAAACCTTGGATATGAGCTTTGGCTCCATCTGGTGGACAATCAGGTAAACTACATCCTCATTTAGAAAACACAGGCGGGGGCATTTGCGCATGCGTTGAAACGTCACATCAAGCTCACGTTTGCAGAAAAAATAAAAAAATAAAAAAACGACAAAACCCGGGACAATGTATAAAACTTTACATCCAGCTGCCTTAGATTAAGAATTAAGTAGTTTTGAACACAAGCCTATAAGTTAATTAACATGTAACTAAAGTGTACCATTTTAGTCGCACATTTAGCCGTACATTGCGCACAAATTTACAACTTTAACATTCACATTTGTTAGCGGTGTACGGGGCGGCAACAAAGCCAAAGAAACTAGGCTAACCTCGTGAGAGCATTAGCTACATTTAACTACCGACAACGTAAAAAGTCCCGTATTCTTCCACTTCCATCCACACGAAATCACGCAAAATAACAAATGACGCTACTCTAAGAAAGCTGCAAACGTTGCTAAAAAATATTTTCAATGCTGCGACAAACTCACCTGAGATGCGAAAAGTTGATCGCAGGCCGACGTGCGCCATTAACCCCAACTAGGCCCAACTCCTCCGCAGAGTTTTAAAAAAAATTAAAAAAACAAATTCTCCTTCCACGATCATTCCTTCGGCATCACACGATGTAATCCACAAATGCCCCGATAAATAAACTGAATTTAAGAAAACTAAACTAAT